GTGGGCTTTTTTCCGATGGGCTTTACTCCATTCACATCATCAAGGTCAACTCTACTTTGAGGAGGCAGCTTTTCCTCAGTTGCATTTTGAGTGAGTTCAAACCTGAAGGGCTCATTTTCCGGCACTATATCTGACAGAGGTTCTCTGCTATCCATAAGGTTTTCAGTAACTAAATATTCGGAAGTAGTTTGTCACTCCTTCTTCCTAGTCTATCTTTGTCTGGAAGCTCATCTGAAACCTGTCCACCATGGGTGACCCTGCTGGTATTTAAAATGCCGGTGACACAGCTTTCAGAATACAGCTAAGGAAATCCTCTAGAGTAGATTTCCTGTGTCACATGAGGTCCGTAAGTGTTGGAACCAATTCAATGGTATTCAACAACAAGAAGAACCAATAGCAAGAAGGAAAAAGAATAAAATACATGTACCACAGTTCTGAAGTTAATGGCAACTTAAAAAGACAAGTGAAGACACTGTTTACTCACATAAATGGTGAATTCATTTGGGCCCCAATAGAAAATTTATAGTGATTCAATTACCTTTATGTTTACTTATAAACTTCTTATTTTTAATAGAAGTTTATTGTCTTAGTTTCAACCAATTTTCTATAGCTCCTAAAAAGCCTGCTAGCTGCTTATCTCCTTTAGAGCACAATTGGTATTCAATCCACTTTCATGCTGCTCACACACATAAGAGCATGTTTGTATGCCTACACATGCACACTACACACACAAAGCATGTTTTTTCAAAGGCCTTGCAATCAGAAAGAAGCATCCACTTAACTGGATCCTAAAAGGAAACATTTCTTGGCAAAAGCTTTTTCTCTGAGAATTTTCAAGTGCTATTGTGACTCCTTCATCTTACCACGACAAAGTTCATTTCCAGGTTTTGCCACTAAGTACAATCTGCCAGCAATAGAGGAGGCAGCCATGACAGCTAAACTCAGTACTAGAATTCAGGGTCCAAGGTACGTTGCTTATTTGATTGCTGTCTGTTTTCTCCACTCAACTTAGAAGCTCCCTACAGGCAAGGATGAGGTCTATTTTGCCCAACACACAGCACAGTACCCAATACACATAGTAGGTAGTCAAGAAATATTTATTGAATAAACACTGAATAACAGATAGTGATGACAGGACCCATGCCTAATTCATCTTTGGACATGTCTCAAAATGAAAGGAATGTCAGTACAGAGTAGGTAATCACTAACTCAAATGCCTGTTGAATGAATGAATGAATGATTTGATCAATTGATATAACATTCAGTTGTGAGGAACCAACTGGTGCCACCTATTATTTAAAAGTGTGGCTCACTTTAGCTCATTGTTCAGCTGTTTGGAAAAGGAACCCATGATGCTCATGAGGCCTAAAGATTTGACAGATGAGCTGACTGAGTCCCCTCCATGTCCCTTGATATACATAGTTATTTATTTCACACTTAGAGACCTCCCCTAGTTGATACTTTGGTGTCTGGCTGCCCTAGCTTTCTGTGTCCATCTCTGTAGATGCAGCACAAGACACAAGGAAGAAGGGGCAGGGGCTCCATTAGTTTTTTTGAATGAGTTCCCAAAGGGAACTTCATCTTAACATGACAAAGGTCGTTTATGACTTGTTACCTTTGAGTTAACTAAATATGGATCACTGAAAGATCATTCAAGCATATGCCCTACTCTTGTTTGCAAAAGGAGTCCAACTATTGGACAGTCCATATGACAGTTTAATTAATCTTCATAGCCAATGAAGTCATGTCCCTGAAAATGGACACCACCATCTTCCTCTCTCATTGGCAGCTTTCCTCTTCCTCTCTCTCTCTTACTGAGCTGCAGTGCCTTTTCTGTTCCTCTCTGCAAGCATAGCTGAGGGTGGGTTGGCCTGTTTTAGGAGACTGCTCTGCATAGGCCTCCTCCCATCTGAATATTACAAAGTTCAAGGCTTGTGAGTGTTGCTGACCCCAGGCTTTCCCACTAAGACCAGGTCTTAGGGGCCAATATGCACTCAGCCCAGAACAGATTCACATGAGTGTGAGAGTAACCAAGAGAGGAACAAAGGGATGATGCCTTACCTCCTAAGAATCCCTCTGCCATCCACATATTTGCCGATCACAGAGCCAGATCTCTGTTTCCAGCTTGTGTTGGGAGCAGCTGTGTTTGCCTTGGCTGCCTTATCTTTCTGTAGAAACACAAAATACCTTCAGATCCATTCCTGTTGATTTGTCCCCAGTGTTTGAGCAGAAAAGGGCTCAGTTTTCTCACCATATTTAACAGGCTCCAAACAAAAGTCTGAAGTAGGGGAGCCATGTTCTGGTCTACCTGTTAGTAGGTTCACCCACTCTTTCTGTTTGTTGTGATTCCCCACCAGAGTTTCTCTAGCTCCTCACTAATAGTCTAATCAAATGAATGCAAGCATCATTTAGTGCCCGGGGTCCCCTACATCATCCTTCACAAGAGTACTGATAATTTGTAAGAAGATAATTACAAGATACATGCTTAATGCAAAGGAAAATATTTATGGGCATAAGAGACTTCTGTGCATCTTTAAATCATACTCCTCTGCCTGGCTCCAATTCCTCTGCATTTCCAAAGCCCCACATATATAATGAGAAAGGGCCATCCCAGAGGGTCAATTAACCCAATGTCCTATCCAAAAGTGCTGAGCTAGCTGAAAGTATTTCAGTGCTTTTGTAGAAGGAGGCTGAGTGTAGACTAGTGACTCAAACATTTGTAACGGAGGACCTAGGTGGAGTAGGGACTTACAACCCCTTTGCCAGTGCTCCCTGACAGATGTCTTCCAGTTGCTGAGGAGGAGTGAGACCACAGGAAGAATCTCTCATTAATCAGTCTTCTCCTAGACTCCCTGTGATCCTTAATGAGAGAAGAAGGAATTGCGGAGCTCCCAGGGCCCCTGAAGGTATGGCTATAATGATTCCAAATTAATCTTTAATTATTATTCAGCATGAACATGATTTCATCATTCTTACTCCTATTTCCCATTAGGGTTCTTAATTCCCTTCTCCATTCAAAGCAAAATGAGTTTGGCAGGTGACGGGAGGTGAGGTCAAGTGATTAGGGTGACATTTGGTTGGAAGCTTTGAAATGAATTCAGTGTTACTTCTAAAACAATTATAACCATTGTCAGCATCAAACAAACATGTGTAGGTTTAAGCCTTGTTCTAATAGTGCACATAGGTGGGTGGCAGAAGCGTTGGTTGGCCAGTTGGGGATGTAGAAGAAATGGTGTAGCATCATCCCTCAGAGCCTTGCAGTTATAAACCAGGCTGGACCTAATTTCAGGCAAACTGACTGCCTTATGCTAACCATGTTTAAGCTACTGTTCAGCTAAGGGTTGAAAGCATATCGTCCTTCTCTTTTCAAGAATTTTCCCTCCCCTGTAGGGGAAAAAAGGCAGTTATTTCCTTTACCAAAGATCCCTAGTGGTGCAGTGGGTTCAGAAATGGACTGTTAACTGAGAGGTTAGCAGTTTGAACCTATCAGCTGTTCTGCAGGAGAAAGATGAAGCAGTCTCCTTCCATAAAGACTTCCCCTATGGGGCAGTTCCATGTCCTATAGGGTCACTATGTGTCAGAATCAACTTGATAGCAGTGGGGCTTCTCCCCCCCTCCCCCCCGGCCCGGTTTATTCCCTTTACTCATATGACAGTTGGGAGGTCATTGGAAGCAATGACTTCCTCAAGGTCATACATAAAATTCATGGTGTGAAAATTCTGAGAATTAAGAAGTTGTGTCTTCAGTCTAGCTTCCAGTTTTCTTCCTTGTTCAGCATCCAACAGCTGCTGTTGAAAGGAGAGGATGCATAGAGGAACACGGAATCTGAGATTTTCTTTAATGCATCCCAAAGTGAAGATCTTTAAATAACTATAGGATTTTGCGCTATTTGGGAATGTATGTACTGTTCAGGTATGGAGAGCAGAGGTCCCCAGAGGGTGAAAAAACGTACATAAAATTGACTCTGTAAAGTATGAAATATACATTTTAAATTTGTTATAGGATACTATAAAAATGCAAAATTATCATCAAGATATAAAAATTTAAGTGAAGAAAATGAACATTTTGATTGAATGTGATAAGGATGTTGAACCTGTGCCATTTCATGGATAGAACCATCATTTCTATGTTCAAGAAACGTCATGTGACGCCAAGAGAAAGGCGTGCTGCATCATGGAAATCAATGCACCGTTACTCAGTTGTTAAGTGCCGAAGAGTTGGTTCTGACTCATAACACGACCCTGTATAGGGTTTCTGAGGAGCAGCTGGTGAGTTTGAACCGCCGCCCACCTTGCGATTCACCCCAACCATCACCACCCAGTGCTTTATCCTACAGCGCCACACCAGGACTCAGTAGGCCACCTTATATTTTTATTGTTTTCAAATAACCCTCTGCTGTTGTCCTCCCCACACAGAAAGGATCAATCCAAATCCAAATCTCAGGACATCCTTGGATCAGTTCCAGCCTGGACTCTGGCTGCCCACAGCCCTTGATTTCCCCGAGGTAAGGAAAAGCATTGGCACTTACCTGAAAACGTATGTCCCGTTCATCCCGGAGGTGCTTGTTCCTTTCCCTGGGGGCAAAAAAGAAAATCAATTCAAACAGAAAACTTGTTTCTGTAGCTGGCAGTTGACTGATCCAATAACAGTTAGTTTGCCTTTCAGATGGGCCTCAGGGAAGGTCTGGTGCAGAAGGCCCAGGGAGTGTGTGTAATCTCTTTCCTTGGGAATTGTGGTTAATGGCAGAAAGTAGTTTGTGTGTGAGGCAGGGGGATTGCCAAAGTGGCCTTGTGATAACTCTGCACTACCTGTTCCTACCACTAGATGGCCTCCAAGTGAGGGGGTGGGGCGGCGGAGGCTTCCAGCTCCAGCTTCACCTAAGGACTTCTGATCACACACCCAAATGACATACTGTCTCTCTCTGAATCATTCATTCATTCATTCTGCATTGTTACTTAACAAATCATTTCCCAGCACTTCTCTCTGTTAGGCATTGTTCCAGGTATCAGGGTTACAACAAAGAACAAGACAAAAAGTTCCTGCCTGTAGGGCCTTTGTGTTTTAGTGCAGGGATACTTTTATCACTAAAGGTGCTCTGGTAGTGTAGTGGTTACAAATCAGGCTGCGAACCTCAAGGTAAGCAGTTCCAAACTACCAGCTGCTCCGCGGGAGCAAGATGAGGCTTTCTGCTCCCATAAAGATTTACAGCCTCGGAAACCCTATTCAGGGTCGCTATGGGTCGGAACCGACTCGATGGCGCTTAACAACAACAATAACTTTTATCACTACAGGAGTAGTTTGAACCTCAAGCTTAGCAGTTTAAACCTACTCGGGATTGGCTCGACCGCTCTTAACAACAATTACTATTGAGAAAAATCAAGCCGGAATGAGGTAAGCAGTGGCAGTGGACGGTGGAGTGGCATTTTAAAGACAGTAGTCAGAAAGGTTGAGGGACCAGCCGCAAGAGAAGGATATCATGTTAGGTAAGGTGGAGGGTCAGAGAAAAAGAGGAAGACCCCCAGCGAGATGGATTGGCCAAGTGGCAATCAAGCCACTTGACGGACTCAAGCGTGGCAACAGTAGTGAGGTTGGCCCAGGATCTGGCAGTGTTTCGTTCTGCTGTGCATAAGGTCGCTATGAGTCGGTACCGACTCGATGACACCTAACAAGAAGTCAGAAAGGTTGAAGGTTTCAGTCCACTCAAAGGAACCTTGGAAATAAAGCCTGTCGATCTACTGCCGAAAATATTAGTCACTGAAAACCCTATGACACACATCAGTCAGCTAGTTAGTTGACCAATAAGGTGATATCTGAGCAGACTCGGAGGTGGGAGGCGCTGGGTAAGGATTGGTGGGGACGAGCATTTCAGGCGGAAGAAACTAGGGTAAAGCCTGGAGCTGAGAGGCGGAAGAAACTAGGGTAAAACCTGGAGCTGAGATGAATCTGGTGTGTGTGAGAAACAGAAAGGAGGGCAGTAGAGTGCTTAAAGGAGGGTGCTCTACCTAATGAAGGCAGAGAAGCAGTGAGGGACAAGTGGGATGGACGGGACCATTTGCAGCCTTGTGGGCCATTTTAAGACTTGTATTTTTACTCCAAATGAGATGTGAAGCCATTAGGGAGCTTGGCCGGGAATGGTCATGATCTGATTTAAGTGCTTAAAAGATCCTTTTGGATGCTAGGCTGAGAATAAACAGATGGGCCCTGAGACGCGACCGACATTTTTAGCCACACGGGCGTCACTGGCTACGTAGACAAGAGCTGTTTCAGCCGGACAGTGGGGGAGAAAGCCTGAATGGAGGGTAGAGAGTGTGAAGAAAGGGAATGGAGACAGGGAACATAAACAACTTGCTTGAGAAGTTTTGTTGCATAAGGATTAAAGAAATGGAAACGAGGTGGAAGTTGAAAGGAGACTGAGAGATGTTAGATGAGAAGCACTGTATTGTAGGTCTCTTAAAAAGAAAATTGATGATGGAGAGAGAAAACTAATGCTGGAATGATGTCCTCAAGGAAGCAGGAGGTGATGGTGGCCTTTGCTAGGTGCATGGGGGGGCGGGTCCATCTACCATAATAGAGGAGGAGGCAGACATGTGGATACAGACAGACTGATGGGGGAGGTGTGGGGCATTCTCTTATGATGGTGAAATAAGAGCTTGAGAATAAGGTGTTGGAGGTTTAATGAAAGAACAGAATGAGGAAGTGAGGATGTTGGGAGCACAGAGTGAACATGAAGCTCTTGGTTGAGAATTTCAACCATGAATTTCAACCAAATGACTTCAAAGGCCCCTTCTGGTTTGGGGAGCTCATGACTCTTCTGGCCAGTGGTCTTGAAAGAATTAGCACTTTGAAGGGGAAGGGAGAGCACAGCAGCAGTCTAGCCCTAGTCATTACAATGCAATCAGCTTCTTAAGAGAAAACATGTAGCTATGTTGGGGATGCTTTGTGCCAGTTTCCTGCACCTGGTGTTCAGGACAAGGCAGGAGGGACAAAGAGGGCATTTTAAAAACCCTGAGAATGGACAAGTGAGCTTCTCATGGCCAGACCATCTCCCTGTGCTGGCAATAACATTGTAAGCAGCCTTGTACCTAACAGAGGAGAACTTGGGAGACCTGGGAAGGCACCCAAGCATGTCTCTGCCTTCCCTGCTTTGTGTAGCCATCACCATGCATAAGTGCCAACATTTAAAGAAATACTGTACTCTCTGAATGTCTGCCCTCTTGTGATTCCCATTCACGTAGTGTTGCTGTTGTGTGCCAATGCACAGCAACCCAGAGGGAGAGAGGAGAATTGTCCCATTAGGTTTCCTAGGCTATAATCATTATGGGATCAGATCACCAGATTGTTTCTCACACAGAGTCGCATGTGGGTCAAACCCACAAAGAAGCCAGTGAGCTCAGCGTGGTCAAACTAAGACTGGAACTGGGTAAGTCAATTGTCCAAAGTCACACAAGCTGATGAGAGAGGGAGAATGCTAGGTCTTGAACCAGATTCAGCTTTACAACCATTCTGCTGACTGCGGGGTGTCTCCTCTTCACTCTGGTAGTCTTGACTCTACTGCTATCCTCCCCAACACTGCCACTTCCTACTGCTCTCTCAGCCCCATCCCAAGCATTGTCTTTCTGTTCAGTTTCTCTGTTTCCCCCACTGGTCTCTGTTACTACATGGTGATCCACTGCTGAGGGAAAAGTCTGCCCTAGGGTCTTCCCTTCCACATCTCCTTTTCATCAGTCTAAGCCTGGCAGCCAACCACGCGTACCCAGGCAGGCGGCAGGTGTGTAATTCTGCCTGAATTCTAGCCTCCATTAAAAGGACCCATGAGTATTTATAGAATGCTGTTATTCTTCTCTGCTCATTTGCTTTGAATCTACCCGTTTATTTTTTTCTATGTACAATAGACAAAGGAAAAACACACACACATACACAAAAAATAACAGAACAAAAACCTGTCCTTGTACATCTTGTTCTCATCCTTTCACTAAAGTCTTCCTAAGCCTCAAAACCTTCTTTCAAATGAAGCAAAACATGGCCCACCTAAGAATGCCCTCCCATCTCCCTGCCCTTGGAGGCTTGTTTGAATCATGTATTGAGTGGAGTAAATCTGAAATACATTCAGCTTGAAGCACTTTTCAATTTGGTAGCATCATAGATGCCAGACACAGTGACCTTAGCTTGCTTTCGAAAAATAAAACAAAATCAAAACAAAGTTCATAACCAACCTGGGAAGTGATTCAAAACCACATGCACTTTAAAAATCAAAACTCAAAGTCCTTTGGCTTCATCACCATTACCCAAAAGGCGTTCAGGAGGCAGGACATACAGTACCTCAGAAACCTCCAAGGCAAAACGGAAAACTCCATCTTCCCCACATGGGTTGGTTTGTTTGGGGCTCATTTCAGACCAATGAGCTTTGGATTTATTACTGTAAGTTTCAGAAGGCCGAGGAGCCTCCTTTCTTGGTACTTAGTTTGTGATTCATTTACAAACATTTAAAGCATGTGGCAGAGTAGCAAGAATTAGTAAAAAAAAGGATCTGAATTCTGACTCCACCAGTGAGTAGGTGGGTCACTTTAGGTAAATGACTTCATTTCCCTAATATCAGTTTCCAAATCTATTCATTCTCGTTTCAACAGCTACTTTACATGCTGAATAGTTTTCTTAAAGATGAAAAGTATACTAAACCCATCTGGCACGGAGTTCACCCTCAGTAAATTCAGTCCTCCTCCTCTTTATGCAACCGCCACACAGGTTCTGTGAGAGACACAGGGCGAATGAGCTGGACAGTGGAGTGGACAGGTGCACAAGGGAACAGGCACAACACACAGGGCATACTCAGTTGTCCAAACAGCAAGCTAAGCACTGGGGAATGAGAGAGCGCTTTCTGAAGCTCTTTCCAATATGTGGTAGGGAAGATAGAAACACACTCAGACTGGCCCTTCTGACTGGGACACCCTCTCACAAGCACATCGTCTGGACTGACACACCTCAGGAAATCCAGCTGCTTCAGGAGTCCTGACTTTTCTCTCTTCAGACTCTCAGTCACCCGGTACACTTCCCTGTGGAGGAGGCAAACACAGTGGTGGTGAGTGACAGCCCTCCCTGGGGAGGGGAGTTAGCAGGGTCTGAGGCTGTGCTGTACTGAAGTTAGATGTCCAGGGACTCAGAATAATGGTCATCCTCTACAGAACACGTACTATGTGTTGACACCTATCATCTCAGAGTAAGATGGGGACGCATTTAGGGAAGAAAGGAAAGACATAGAGCAGGTATTGGTTGACATTAGAAGGAGAAATTCTCCCATTTCATCATGAATGACAATCAAGAGGTTTGATAGCTTTTCCAAGATCACGAAGACAATTCCTGGTCAAGCTAGGGCTCTAATCCAGACCTCCTACTCCCAAATTCTCTTCCTTTCATGGCCACTTCACACTGCCACCTGGGAGCATTGCCAGATTATAAATGCACTGTTTCCCCAGGCTCCAAACAATCCTGCCCAATACAGACTGGGTTAGATTAACATTCTTCTCCAGCCTGATCTCTGAGGATATGTTGTTGTTGTTCGGTTCCGACTCACAGTGATCCTATATAGGATTTCCAAGAAGCAGATGGTAGATTGAATTGCTGACACTGTGGTTCACAGTCCAGTGTTGATCCTACACTACCACACCAGGGCATTCAGGATGCAGGCAGATAACCCTCAACACCACTCAGATACTGATTTAATTTATTTTTTAAAGTTCTGGAAGAGTCTTTTACCTTTCCCTACCTCCCCACAGAAGTCCCCTTTTTCTTCCTAGATAAGTGGTCATTCATTTCATTAAGATCTCCAACTATTCTCCCTTAAGTTCAAAGGCACTCAAAATATGACTGAGGAAGACTGTCCCCTTAGAGCAGGATTGACTGAGATGATGTGAATGGAGTAAAACTTTTGGACCCTTCATTTGCGGAGGCAGCACAACTTAAAATGAGAAGAAACTATTGTAAACATCCATTAATAATCAGAACATGGAATGCATGAAGTATGAATCTAGGAAAATTGCAAGTTGTCAAAAATAAGTGGAACTCATACAGCTCTATATCCTAAACATTAGTGAGCTAATATGGACTGGTATTGACCATTTTTAATCTGACAATCATATGGTTTACTATGCTGGGGAAGACAAATTCAAAATAAATGGCATAGCTTTCATCATAAAAAAAAATCCAAAAATATTTCAAGATCTATCTTGAAATACAATGTCGTCTGTGATAGGATCATATCCATATACCAACAAGGAAGACCATTTAATACTATTATTATTCAAATTTATGCATCAACCGATAAAGCCAGTAATGATGAAATACAAGAATTCTACCAACTTCTTCAGTCTGAAATTAATCAAATATGCAGTCAAGATGTATTGATAATTACTGGTGACTGGAATGTGAAGGTTAGGAGTAAGGAGGAGGAATCAGTAGTTGGAAAATATGGTTTTAGTGATAAAAATTATGCTGGAGATTGCATGCTAGAATTTTGCAAGACCGACAACTTATTTATTGCAAATACATTTTTAAATCAACATAAAAGGTGAGTAAACACATGGACCTCATCAGATAGAATACATGGAAATAAAATTTACTATACCTGTAGGAAAAGTTCAATATCATCAGCCAAAACTAGGCCAGGGGCTGACTATGGAACAGATCATCAATTGCTCACACTGAAGTTCAGGCTGAAGCTGAAGAAAGTGAAAACAATTCCACGAAAGCCAAAATACTTGAACATATCCCACCTGAATTTAGAAACAATCCCAAGAACAGATTTGATGTATTAGACACTAACGATCGAAGACCAGAAGAACTGTAGGATGATATTAAGAACATCTTAAAGGAAGAAAGCAAAATGTCATTAAAAAGACAGGAAAGAGAGAAAAGACAAAAATGGCCATCAGAAGAGATCTGAAACTTGCTCTCCAAGGTAGAGATGCTAAAGCAAATGGGAGAAATGAGGAAGTAAAAGAGATGAACACAAATTTTCAAATGGCAGCTTGAAAAGACAAAGTCAAGTATTAAATGTGCAAAGACGTGGGCTGAGAAAACCAAAGGGGAAGGAGAACATGCTCAGCATTTCTCCAGTTAAAAGAACTGAAGGAAAAGATTCAAGCCTAGACTTGGGAAAACTATTGAATGATGCAGAAAGTATCAAGAGAAGATGGAAGGAACATACAGTCACTGAACTAGAAAGAAATGGTCGATGTTCAACCATTTGAAGAGGCTGCATATGATCAAGAGCCAGTGATCCTGAAAGAAGAAGACCAAGGTGCACTGAAGGAATCGGCAAAGAACAAGGCACCAGGAGCTGACAGAATACAAACTGAAATCTTTCAACAAACTGATAGAGCACTTGAGACACTCACCTATGCCAAGAAATTTGGAAGATAGCCACATGGTCAACTGACTGGATGAGATCCAAAGAGAGGTGACATGACAGAATACAGAAATCATCTAAGAATATCATTAATATCACATGCAAGTAAAATTTTGTTGGAGATTACTTAAAGATGGCTGCAAAAGTAAATCAACAGGGAACTTCAAAGCCAGATTCAGAAGGGGACATGGAACTAGGGCTATCATTGTTGACGTCAGATGGATTTTGGCTGAAAGCAGAAAATACCAGAAAGATGTTTACCTGTGCTTTATTAATTATGCATGGGCTTTCAACTGTATGGCTCATGACAAACTATGAATAACATTGTGAAGAATGGGTATCCTAGACCACTTGAATGTGCTGATGCAGATCCTGTACATAGACCAAAAGGCAGTTATTTGAGCAGGACAACAGGGGATGCTGAATGGTTGAAAATTAGAAAAGGTGTGTGCCAGGGCTGGATTCTTTTATCATACATATTCAATCTGTATGCTGAGCAAATAATCCGAGACACTGGATTGTACAAAGAAAATGTGGCATCAGGATTGTAGTAAGACCCATAACAACCTGCAATATGCAGATGTTACAACCTTGCTTGATGAAGTAAAGAGGACTTAAAATACTAACTGAGGAAGTTCAAAGACGACATGCTTCAGTAAGGATTGCATCTCACTGCAGAGAAAACAAAAATTCTCACAACTGGACCCATAAATAACAACAGGAAAATGGAGAAAGGACTGAGGTTGTCACAAACTTCATCTTGCTTGGATCTACAATCAACACTCATGGAAGCAGCAGTCAAGAAATTAAAAGATATATTGCATTAGGTAAATCTTCTGCACAAGGCCTCTTTAAAATATTCAAGAGTAAAGATGTCAGTTTGAAGACTAAGATGCACCTGCCCGAAGTCATGTTGTTTTCAACAGCCTCTTATGCATGTGAAAGTTGGACAATGAAAAAGTGAGAATACACAAGTGATGCATTTGAGCTATGGTGTTGGAAAAAAATGTTGAATGTAGCAAGGATTGCATAAAGAACAAATAAATCTGTGTTGGAAGAAGTACAGACAGAATGCTCTTAGAAGCCAGGATGATGAAATTTCATCTCTCATACACTGGACATATTATCAGGAGGGTCCAGTACTTGGAGAAAGACATTATGGATGGTCAGCAACAAAGAAGACCCCTAACAAGATGGATTGGCAGAGTGCAGCAGCAAGGGGCTCCAGGGCAACAACAATTGTGGAGATGGCATAGGACTGGGCAGTGTTTCATTCTATTGTCCACAGGGTCACTGTGAGTCAGAACTGCCTTGATAGCACCTAACAACAACAACAACATCTCCAACTATAAAGTAGTGGCTTAATGTGTCATTTATACTCAATCATTAAGAGCAGTGTGTGAACATGTCAGTCATATCAGGAGTTTTGAGGAAGGGGCTGACAAGAGGGTGATTTACAATGAGAGGTGGGGACTGTGTCTAGTCTGTTTACATCTATATCTTCAACACTGTGCACAATATAAGGGTTGTTCTGGGCTGAGTTCTTTCCTGCCACAATCTGTGATAACTTGGCTAGGCCATGATTCTCAGTATTATGTTATTATCCTCTATTTTGTGATCTGATGTAATTACGCTATGTGTTGTAAATTATAACCTCTATGACTGTGAAGCACAAGGTTGACAGTTCAAGCACAATGTTGACAGTTTCCTCGGAAACCTTACACAAGGTTGCTATGAGTCAGAACTGACTCGACAGCACTTAACAACAACAACATGATGATAATGAGGCAGAATTAGTGGCAGTAATGTTAGGGATAGGATATAATCTACAGGATTTGGTTGCATTTTCAGTCCATCTCTTTTGAGTTATAAAGGAGATTAAAGAAGAGAGGAGACCACCAAGAAAGAAGGTTTGGAAGTCAAGTGCAGCTTTGGGCTCAGGATCCCTGTGCTGGGAGCCCTCTAGACCCAGGAGAAGGCTGACATCAAGGCAAGGAGATCTCCAAGGAATGCTGGGCTCACAGAATTGAAAGGAGACAAGGATGTTCCTCCTGAACTGGGAGCCAACAGAGGGAGAAAGTCTTTCCCTGGAGCTGTTGCCCTAAATTTGGATTTTTAGCCACTTGTGGTATTTCTATTATAGCAGAACTTTTTTTTACAATGCCAAGACAATAGACCAGTAAGACAGTGGTGTACTCAACATAGTTGTAGGAAGAAAGTAAGAAGGAAAGAGGGAGGAAGGGAGAGAAGGCGGAAGGCTGACAAAAGGAAGGCAGACAGAGTCAAGACCAGGAAGAGTAACATGAGGAGGTTTTCAGTACCACATAGAGAAGAAAGGAAGGAGGCACAGAAGGAATGAGTGACATTAGAAACTAAGCCTTGCGTAATTCACAATTTGGCCTCACTTTTTCCCTCTACATTTGTACTGTAGTTTGCTGGTAGTGGTGGTGTGCTGTGGAATAGGTTCCGACTCATAGCAACCCTGTACAAAGTTTCTGAGGCTGTAAATCTTTACAGGAGCAGAACGTCTCATCTTTCTTCCACAGAACAGCTGGTGGTTTCGAACTGCTGACCTTGAGGTTAGCAGCCTGATTCGTAACCATTACGCTGCCAGAGCTCCTTACTATAGTTTAAATCATCCCCTATGCT